TAAGTACACAAAAACCGGAATTATGACACATTGCGCATATAACTAGACTCACCTCCAGGAAATTCTGTATTTCGTAATCGATAATATTCTTATTAAGAAGTTCACATTGAGTTTCACGCTCTAGTGTATAGGCACCACGTAATGTATATTCATTGCTATGCGTCATAATGTAGCGCACACAACTGGTTATGGCATCGTCCAATTGCAAAACAATTGCCGCCTTTATCATTGCAGCGACATTGTTAACAGTAATCAGCGCCTGGCCGGTGTAGCAAAATGTTAATAAACGCTCAAAAATATCGCTATCGATATCATTTATTTCGATAACTTGTTTTTGATTCAAGCCTTGATCGCCATTGAAAAGGTTCTCGAAGTAAGTGCTCGCGGCGGATAGTATCAAACGATGCCCGCGTACACTGTGCAATACAAAAATTATATACTAACAAGTACATATGTATATAAATCGATATAATTTTATGTAAGGTGAAGGCAAAATAATAGGTAACTGTATAGTTTAGGTCCCCCTATGAAGGGGGCCGCGAAAATTATAATTTTTCTTTATAAATCGTTTTATTTTGACACCAAGATTACAAATCCGTGAGCGGAAAGTGAATTTTTGCAATAATATATATATGATTTTATATAAAACAAGTAAGGAAATTCTAAGTTCGGGTGTAACCGAACATTTTTTACTCTCGCAACTTGCAGGGATCAAAGCCCGGGAAATTACTTCAGGTTTTGGCAAAATTTTATGTTAAAGGAAGTATTGATCCGATTCAACCCAGTTTTGATACAAAAACTTACTATTATCGAGAGTTCCATTTATTTATTTTATTATATAATATGAATTTATATATATGTTAAAAAGTACTAAAAGCGCGATAAATCAAGCACTAAACTCGCCAGAGACATTAAATTTTATCTCTGGGATGGTATGAAATAACTTTATAGGAATCGCGTTCAATATTAGTCAGTGGGCGTGGCACCGCCCACTTTTAGGTGAAAACCCATATCTTGGGATCTGCTTAACCGATTTCAACCAAATTCGGTACGTGACATTATTTTTATATTTCTATATTATAACGTGAAAATGAGCCAAATCGGACTACAACTACGCCTACTTCCCATATAACACCACTTTAAATTCCATCTGATTCTTTGACTTTCCACTACGCAAATCAGGCAACAATGACTGTATCGAGATAAAACTTTGCGTGAATAATACGTTTAAAGTATGCCACCTTGTGGCCAAAAATTGTCTAAATCGAACCAAAATTGTTCAAGCACCTAGGTACTAAATATGTGGACCATAGTGCCTATAGTTGACCTTCTACCGAAAATATCGGTCAATCCACAAAGAAATCTCAAACGAGTATACCATTTGA